GAGTCTGACAAGGGCCGAAGGATACCAAACGACTATTTAGATCACCATATTTTCCCTAGTAGAGGGTTAACAAAATGCAACGATAAAGATATATTTACTGATAAAAGATTTAAGGTCAATTATTGAATTATAAAATAATATAAATAACTAACTTGGAAGTATTTGGTTTGGAATCGTGTGAATGCACAGCCTATACGAAGGTCAAGTTCTTGTCGTGCATCTACGGACCGAGCTTCATTTTTATTAGGCTCTCTCAATGACTTCATTGCGGTATGCAGTTCAGAATCAGTAACCGCACTAAAATGGGCTCTCAGGATAGTGGTCTAAAAGATGTCGAATAGTCAGATAAATGCAAGCAAGAGTAAACAACCTATTAAAGGCACATTATTGTAAATAAATAAGTAAGTAAAGCAATACAGTAAAAAAATTTCGGTTTAGCAGCAAAATAGCAAATTACGCCCCATTTTAATAGCAAATTTAACCTACCGGTTTAGACATGACTGAGATCACAGAATCTATGACTTCAAAACATATATTTTCTCCTTCTTTATCACAATCCAGCCATAATACTAAGACATTTGCATTTTTTGCCTGTTAAATCAGTTAGCACAAAATTGAAGTTACTTCGTATCTTAAAAAATCAACCATTTTAAGCTTTGGATTTGCTTCTTTTTTCTCTAAATTCGCGACAAACAACTCCATCTAAAAATGATAAGCAAAATCCAATAAGACATTAAAATACGATACCTATGTCTTTAGCCAATACGATATTAAATTAATAGGACACACAAATCACTTACCGGATCCACAGTATCCCAATTATTATACCTACTTTGAAAATCTAATGTCATGACATGTCCACATACTGAAGTCATTCTGAAACGGACATGTTCTCGGCAGAATTCTCCAGACCATTCATGAACTGAGCAAGCTCCATTGAAACCCTTTCTGGAGACACGTGTGTTTTTTGAAAGAACCTTAGAAATAGTTTCCGCCAGCGATGGCTTTTCAGCCACCATAAACACAACTGTCATAGTCTATACACAAAAATCAATGAAAGTAATAAAATCTTGAAGTGTATTAGACAACTTGAGAATGCACGCTTATCAACAGTCGAAAGGATCGCGGTGGAAAGAGGTGCAAACAATAGCCGAAAATATTTTAATGTCTTTTTGTGCCAACTATATCTAAAAACTATTTTATACATTCATATGATATATATAAATGAGCTTATAAAAGTAAACACTTGCACGTATAACCATAAACCTTAAGGCCTAGGGTTTATTATTTTAATTTGTATATTAATTAACCAAGAAATACTCTATTTGAGATGAAGATAAAATTTATTGGGACAAGACGACTTATTTTTGTGATCATGCAAATAATCTATAGTAGAGTTTAGGGCTATCCTTGTGCATTCTAATTGATGATCCAAGTATGAAATCTAATAAATAAAATAAAAAACAGAGTTCATAATTTTGCTTCGTCAACAAATTCAAATAGATACATGATCCAGTGTTTTAGTTAACGTTAGCCATGGT